CTTCTTATTTAGTACACGAGGGGAGTCATGGTCCCAGGTGTTCTTAGCTGAGACCGTGGAAACTGGGGATAAGAATCGTGACGACTTTCATTTTATGCAAATGAAACTCATGATGAGCATCTGGTTTATTTTCAGGGATGATTGAAGTGACCTGCCTAGATGACCACGTTTTGGCGTTTTGGCAATGATAAAATTGTCCCCAAATCAAGGCCCTTGATTTTCGTGTATTCGTATGCACGTATTAGAAAGTAAATACTATAAAGAAGACTCTACCGAAATCCTGTTTCGTGGCGTATTAAGGCGTTACCTTTCTCAGAATATTGATGCAATCACTGGAACTCTGTGGCTGAATAGATTCAATATTGCAGATTCAACTGGCACACACTGCTGAAGCCAACAATTTCTCATCTCATTCCTCATTTCTCATAACACTAATTTCTCATCTATCACACAGATACACACATAAACCCTTGCTGTTGTTGTAAGTGCAACACTTGTCACATTCCACGTATAAAGTGTAGTGTATACGATGCTAATGCAAGCGCGTAGAAGCGAGAGAATGAATGTGATGTAATACACACGGGAATTACGTAATTTGCATGTACTATTGATAGCGTGTGTTGTAATTTATTCGAGTGGGTTAGCGTTCTGAGTTCGGAGTGTAACGGTCGTGAATAAAGTGTGTTTTAACCTAACCGTGGTACTACATTGGCGACGAGGATACTTCGAGGATATTTCGAGGATATTTCAAGGGGATTTCGAGGGTTTCAAGAGTTTCGTTGAAAATTTCGCTGTGGATTTCGTCGAGGATTTCATCAAGGATTTATTTCAGCGATGCCGGGAGGCAGTGGATCGGGCGAAACTAACGCGACAAGCGGTACTACGAGCGGTGCTGTTGGCGGTTCTGGGATGACTTCTGTTACTTTAGATGTCAGTGGATTGGAACCATTTAATCCAAAAGGAGAGGCGCACAATTTAAGTCAGCGATGGAAGAAGTGGAAGCGAGCGTTCAGTTTGTATGTGACCGGGAAAGGTGTATCGAACAACGCTCAAAAACGTGCTTTGCTGTTGCATGTCGCTGGTATGGATGTGCAAGAAATTTATTTCACACTAGCTGGTGAGGGTGGAGATGCAAGTTTTGAAGCAACGTTAAAGGTGTTGGACGACCATTTCGTGCCAAAGGCGAACATTCCCTTTGAGAGACATTTGTTTCGACAAATTTCGCAAGGGGTCGGAGAGACAGTTGATCAGTTCGTTTGTAGATTGCGTCAGCGAGCAGCGACTTGTGATTTTGGCGCCGGCGAGGATGACTACATTCGCGATCAGCTCATAGACAAGTGTTATTCGAGCCATTTACGCCGGAAATTTCTGGAAAAGGAAGGAACTGTTACATTAGATGAATTGTTGCGTGTTGCAAGATCCCAAGAAGCGGTTGATCGACAACTGAAGCAATACAGTACCGACCAAGCAGATAACCAGGTCAATGCAGTGGGTGGCAAGCTGTATGGAAACAGAAATTCCAGGAAAGCAAAGACATGCTTTAGCTGCGGACAAGAAGGACACTTCAGTCAAGACAAAAAGTGCCCGGCGCGTGGTCAAACTTGCAGGAAGTGCGGCGAAACAGGCCATTTCAAAGTTAAATGCCCTCGACTCCATCAGCTAAGCAGGACCCATTCGGGATCTAGAGGACCTGAGAGTAGCAGAGGCGGACGCGGCAGAGGAGGCAGGAGTGCTGGTGGACTGGGTCGAGGTGGACGCTGACACGGAGGGCGAGAGACGAACCTCGTGACTGGAAGACCTAGCCCTGGAGAGGAAGACAAAGGAGATTTCGCTACACCAGGTCGTTCGCAAAGACCCGATTATGCCTTTTCAGTGGAACAGGTGAATGATCGCAAGGAACAAAGGAGCGCTTTGGTAACGCTGGTCATTGGTGGTGTAGACGTACCCGATGTTCTCATTGATTCGGGAGATTCATGTAATGTTATGGGCCAGCAGACCTGGGAGTTGTTAAAGCAAAAGGGGATTAACTGTGAATCTCGCAAATCTGCAAAGGAACTTTTTGCTTATGGTGGTACAGAACCTTTACCGACCCTAGGAACGTTCACGGCAGATGTCACGCTGGCTGGGTTTGAAAACGGAAGTAATGCTGATTTTGTGGTGGTTGAAGGCGATGGTCGCACGCTGTTGGGCCGAGAGACTGCCGAGGCGCTAAACCTGTTGCGTATTGGTCCTTTTCAGACAAACAGTGTTGACGGTGGGCGATCGGACGGGGATGTCAGAGAGAAATACAAGCACTTGTTTAGTGGTGTTGGTCTTTTGAAGGGCTACGAGCTTAAGCTACACATTGATGAGTCGGTGAAGCCTGTAGCGCAGCATGTACGTAGGATACCGTTCGGGTTACGCGAGAAGGTGGATGCAAAGCTGGATGAACTTTTGGAGCTTGACATTATAGAGGAAGTGCCGGAGGGGCCGTCAGGATGGATTTCGCCGTTGGTGGTGGTTCCCAAAAGCGATGGCGACGTAAGAGTCTGTGTTGATATGCGTCGTGCAAATGAAGCAATGGTCCGAGAGCGTCACCCAATTCCAACCGTTGAGGAGCTGTTACACGACTTGAATGGCAGTACGGTGTTCAGCAAGATAGATCTCAAGTGGGGTTTTCACCAGATTTTACTCAGTGAGGAAAGTCGCCACATCACTACCTTTGTCACGCACCGAGGGCTTTATCGTTACAAGCGGTTGATGTTTGGCGTAACGTCGGCGCCGGAGAAATATCAGCAGATCATTAGAGATGTGTTAAGGGGTTGTGCTGGGGTTGCGAACATTGCGGACGATCTCATTGTTCATGGGTGTGACGTGGAGGAACATGACAAGCGTCTTTTTGTGGTGTTAGATAGGCTGAGTGAAGTGAGGTTGACGGTGAACGGAGACAAGTGCGAGTTTAGATTGTCAAGGCTTACGTTCTTTGGTCACGAGCTGACTAGTGACGGCATAAACCCATCCGAAGAGAAGATTGCTGCTATAAGAGATGCTAGATCTCCCAAGGACGCAAGTGAAGTGCGATCGTTTATGGGTCTTGTCCAATATTCCGCTAAGTTCATGCCTGACGTGGCGTCCGTGGCCAAGCCTATTCAAGAGTTAACCAGGAAGGGCATCATGTTTCACTGGGGTAAAGAGCAGCAAACAGCCTTTGAGGAACTGAAGCGTCTAATCACCCAGGCAGAGACACTGGCTTGTTTTAAGGTTGGCTGCAGAACGCGAATCATTGCCGATGCGTCTCCAGTTGGATTAGGAGCGGTTCTCACCCAGCAGCAGGGGGGAATGTGGAGAGTTGTCTCCTACGCGTCGAGGAGCCTAACTGACGTGGAACGACGCTACAGCCAAACAGAGAAAGAGGCACTTTCCTTGGTTTGGGCGTGTGAACGGTTCAACATGTACGTTTCCGGACAGAGCTTCGAGTTGGAAACAGATCACAAGCCTTTAGAGCGTGTCTACTCGCGCACTTCAAAGCCTTGCGCCCGAATAGAGAGATGGGTCTTAAGACTACAAGGGTACGATTTTAAAGTGGTGTACCGCCCAGGGAAGACAAATATAGCCGACGCGTTGTCCCGTTTGAACTCCTTGGATCAAGTGGACCATGGAGAAGACTACGACTTTGTCAGAGCCATTGCTATAAGCTGTATACCCGTTGCTCTATCACCTACAGAAATTGAAGAAGCTTCCTATTTTGACGAAGAATTGACGATAGTAAAGAGTTGCGTGAGGTCAGGGGACTGGGACCGGTGTACACTTCCCTCGTATGCACAAGTCAAGGACGAATTATGTGTCTATGGTGAGCTATTGCTTCGCAGCACAAGGATTGTGGTTGCCAAGCTCCTGCGCAACAGGGTGGTGCGGCTGGCACACGAAGGGCACCAGGGTATAGTGAAGACGAAGTATCGGCTCCGTAGTAAAGTTTGGTGGCCGGGAATGGACAAGGAAGTTGAGAAATTTTGTAAAGTTTGTCATGGCTGCCAGGTCACTTCTGGATTTAACCCTCCTGAGCCGATGTCCCGCGTTCTTCCTCCAAGTGCTCCTTGGCAGGATTGTGGAGCAGACCTGCTGGGACCCCTACCCACAGGAGAGAGTATTTTGGTGGTGGTCGATTACTACAGTCGTTTCTTAGAAGTTGCTATTCTGAAGTCTACAACAAGTGCCAAGGTCATCGAAGCACTTGCACCCATGTTTGCCAGATTCGGTTTTCCGTCCTCTTTAAGGACAGATAATGGGCCCCAGTTCGTATCCGAAGAATTTGAAGCATATTTACGCACAAATGGTATTGAGCACAGGAAAACGATGCCGTTGTGGCCTCAAGCTAATGGAGAGGTGGAACGCCAAAATCGCTCGTTACTTAAATGTCTACAGATTGCACATTTAGAAGGAAAGAACTGGAGAACTGAATTGCTTGTATGGTTGATGGCGTACAGATCCACTCCGCAAACGACGATGGGGACTACCCCCTGTTACATGATGTTTGGCCACGAGGTTAGGTCCAAATTGCCAGAGTTAAGGAGAGAGACGGTCGGGGTGCCAGGCGAAGAAGTGCGAGAGCAGGATTGGTCAAGTAAATTAAAGGGCAAAGCTTATGCAGATCTCAAGAGAGGTGCCACGCCCAAGAGCATACGTGTTGGTGACACGGTACTTTTGAAAGCCGAAAAAACGAACAAGCTGTCTACCAACTTCAACCCTGCTCCTTTTAAGGTGGTTCAGAGGACAGGAACAGAGGTAACGCTTAGGAACGAAGCTGGTGTGCAACTGAAAAGGAACACTGCGTTCGTAAAGAAGTACAACGAGCACAATGGTGTATCCAATGGCAACGAAGACCAAGTTCTACAGTACAGACAGATGAGCCAGGGCCAAGCAGAGTTCCGGAGACGACAGAGGTATCAGGGCCAAGCGGAATTCCAGGGACTACAGGAGTATCTGAAAATTCCCAAGTACAAGCTGGGCATTCTACCGAAAAGGAAGATAACGCAGCGGAAAGGCCTGTGCGGAGGTCGACCCGAACTATGAGACAGCCTGCGCGCTATAAAGACTTTGTCCTGGATGTTTAGGACTTCTTCTTTTTTTTCCTGTTTTGTCTAGTTTAATTCAAAGACTTTGTTTTGCTGAACATTTAGGGTTTTTGCAGCCTTTAAAAACTGCCTTCCTTCTAAATTTGATCAAAGAAGGGAATGTAGTGTATACGATGCTAATGCAAGCGCGTAGAAGCGAGAGAATGAATGTGATGTAATACACACGGGAATTACGTAATTTGCATGTACTATAGATAGCGTGTGTTGTAATTTATTTGAGTGGGTTAGAGTTCTGAGTTCGGAGTGTAACGGTCGTGAATAAAGTGTGTTTTAACCTAACCGCGGTACTACATAAAGTGCATCTGTACAGGTGCTCAGCTTTGAGATACAGTGAAACCTGTATTAAGCAGACAGACTTAGGGAATGCTGTAGTCTCTGCTTAATACAGGGTGTCCGTCTAATACAGGTTTCAATACATGTAGATAACATCATATGAGGTGTCAAATGCCATTCAAATGAACAGTGGAAATGTTTGGAATACTCCCAGAGACTATGACGATATACATTTGCATTAATTTCTTTATCAAAGTGGACAAATAATTTATTGATCGTAGTACCATAAACATAGATTGTTATGTAACTCAAATTTGAAGAAATCAGATGAGTGAAACAAGCTCTATACAAACAAAACGAAATACAAAACAATACTGTACTGTGAAACTAAGCAAATAAGTTTGTCAAAACACGTTTTTTAATGTAAAAATCGAAAATTTGTGGGTGGCAATTCGTGGCAATCTTTTGCATTTCTGGTGTCTGGCATGTTGGGTGGTGGAATTTAATTGAAAGTGTCCGTTTAATACAGGTTGGCAACAATAGAAATGACCATTTCAGGTACATGTACTTTTTAGGTGTCCACGTCCGCTTAATAGAGATGTCCGCTTAATAAAGGTTTCATTTAAAGTAAACAAGGGAAATAAATTTGGGGACTTCGGCTACTGTCCACATAATAGAGGGTGTCCGCTTAATACAGGTTTCACAGTATTACCTTGTTTGGAGCATAATTTAATAGTAAGTTAGAAGATTTTATGCACAACAACCCTTGAGCTACAGTATCAAGATTCTAACACTATTAAGTGCTCTGCATGTTTTTAATAATGCATGTTTGGTTCTTCCAGGTCAGGGGATATTACTAAACTAAACACCATAGCGATAGTACATACAACAAATGAATCCCTCAGTAGCAAAGGAGTATTGAGTGAAAGGATCCACAGAGCTGCTGGTCCAGAGCTGTTACATGAGTGTAGATCACAGTTACTTGGTATGAACATAGTTTCTGAGATAAAGAAGTGGTATTATAGTATAGTTAAATCAAGTTTTTTGGAGTCCAGTTTTCCCAAAACACCACAAGCAAACCTTTGAGCAATACCATATGATACCACCCTGTTTTTTGGAAGGATTTCCATTACACTCAGGGCTGCCATTAAGATTTTGAATTACCAGGTAAATACACTTGTAAGTAGGTGGGGAATTAAGCAACTGGCAATTTCTTTTGGTTCTATATTTTTTGATAGCCAGGGGAAATCCCCAGCCCCAACCTTAAATAACAACCCTGATTACCTCTAGGCCATAAAGTGTAACAAGGGAGGAACTCTCACTAGTCTCTCAAACTTCTAGGTAATAATTTGCTCCAACACTGACTGCCCTCTCACAGTCAAAACTGGTTTTTCCCCCACCATGTTTGAAACTTCCTGACAATTTGAACCGATTTGTTTTTCCCAAGATGGTTCTAAAATTGTGGATTCCGCCATGCGGTTTTAGTATTCCATACCAGAATCCCATACTAGTGAATGGACAGTGTAGTTTCTTTTTCGGTACAACATTTGTTTTAAAAAAAAAGTTAAAAATGGTAACAGAGAACAGCTGTAGTAGTCAAAATATTACTGTCACAATGATAATCAATTAGTTGTCAAGAATTCCTGTTTATTATTTTTTCTAGGTTTAGGACTGGAGAGGCTAAAGTATCAAAAGGCTATAGTTTACCAGCTAGGTGAGTGAGTTGTTAGGGTGTTACCGGAGGCTAATTTGGGCATTTTTTTGTCAGTTTTAGCCGTATGAGAATATCATTTTAAGCATTTAGTGAAAATAAAGTGAAATGTTTGGATGCAAGTCATAAGTGAATGGGGATTAAAAAATCACATCTTCTTTCGGATAACCATTAAGGAGTGTGTGGAATTTTTAAAAATTTAGGGTGTGGTTGAAATTGCCATTTTGGATAAAATTGGCTCTAAATTCAAAAGGATTACGTGTAAATATTATTCAAAATAAAAAGACACACATGTACTATAGATCCATAAAAGAAAGATTTACAGTGCAGTGTGCCGGAAAAATATTGAATCTGGACAATTTTAGGGCAATTAAAAACAAAAGAAATAAATCTGGTGTGAATAATGCAATACCTTGTCACTTCCAAAATACAAAGCGGACTGTAGAGCCTTGTGCTGCCAAATTTCGTCATCTTGTCTACATAACGCCTGCTAAGTTTTGTGGCAATTGAATGAATCTTTGAGGAGAATTACTATCAAACACTGCCAGCCACAGGCTTAAAAGAAGAGTTTTTTTACATGCACTAGAACTAAAAATCATGTTAGTTGACTTGGTCTCCATCTTGGAAAAGCCTGTAATAAAGTTTTTGAATGGAAAAACTCAAAAAAACTGTGATATATACAGTCATGTTTACCATAAATGGCTGGCTATTTTTGCCGCAAAACCAATCAGAGGTGCAGGTATAAAAAAAATGACTCCTTTTGCTTCACAACGATGTCCTGGAGTGTTCCGGTACCTTTCAAGTTGTCTGGGTTTCCACTTAAACATCATTTCGGACATAGTGCTTGATGTACACTGTAGCTCCTCGAAGCAAATTTACCCCTTGGAAGTTTTGTGGTAATTAGGATTGTTTTTGAGGTACAAATTTCCCTTACAAAATATGTATTGTGAATACACTGTAGTACATGTACACCTGTATATGAAGAAAAATACAGTTGTTGTTAAACACAAAGTAAAACATTTAAACTGTACATGTACACTGTACTTGAAGTCTGTAAAAGAAGTATTTTCTCTAGATCTGTTTATTCATTATCTGCTTATTCATTAGTATCTGTGTACTGTGAAAACTATTATGTTTTAAGTATATTTAGAATTTAAACCTGAGTCTCCTTCTCTGAATGATAATATTAAGGCTAGGAAACATACAAATAAGCTAAATCAAAGTTAAATACAGTGAAACCTGGAGATAACAAAGGGCCAACCTTAAGGGACTGACAAAATCTGTTGATCATAACAAGGTTTTGTTATCTCCAGGTTCTTTTCGATATATTTTACTATAACTGGGGCAAAAAATGTCGTTTTTTATGCCGAGGAAGTCCTTTGTTGTATAGAGGTTGCTAGTATTGAGGTTACACTGTACTGGTTAAAGCCAAGAATGGATTTTAACCATGTCCCTGAAGCACAAAAAGGACTTAATAGATGAATTTGGATTTTGCATTGCTCTGACTTAAGTAGCTTTGAAATATACAAGTAAAATCTTAGATCGTTAGCTTAACAAAGAGGTTTTTTCCCTGTGGATGATGATAATTATGATGATGATGATTTTTATTTTTTTTTGTGAAACATTAATTTTGCATTGAGGTAATTTGAATTGAATGATAATAATAATTGTTCTTGTCTGGTGTGTAGATATGTTATCCATACTGTGGGACCAAGATGCAACATAAAATACAAGACTGCAGCTGAAAGTGCACTCTTCTCTTCTTATAGAAGTGTCATGAAAATTGTCAGGTTTGTCAGTTTACTAGTTTTTGTCATATTTTGGGAAACAGCCACAGTACATGTACATGTTACAGTCAGGTCAGGTCAAGTGTACCCCCCAAGATTCCATTTAAATTAATTTATTATTCTAATGTTGAATCTGTTGGTAGTTGTAGATTTTAGATTCATCTCTGCATTCCTGTATGTGCATTGAGCCGGAATTCACATGTGAGGCGGTTATTAAATTTCTACCACCTCAGATTCCCAGAATTTGACTGGTCATTCAAAGATTTTCAATCTGACCAGATGCAGTCGACTCTCGCCTTGTGGACACCTCGCTATTAGGGACACCCCGCTATTGCGGACAAGAGCCACCCCCGGCGAAATGTATAAAGAAATTACTGAAACAAACTCCCGCTTTTACGGACTCTCGCTATTATGGAAATGCGGACACTTTCCTGCCCCCAAGTGCGACATTCTTGTAAAGAATTGTCAAAACTACAATGCCTCTCATACCCCGCTATTATGGACTGTCATTATTATGGACACTAAATCTTCCCCCTGAGGGTGTCCGCAATAATGGGAGTCGACTGTACAGAGAAGTTCTCGTTAAATATTCACTGCTCATTATGCATGCAGGAATGTGCATTTGAATTTGACCCTAGTTACAGGAACGACTACCGGATTCATTTTTCAAAATAATAATCACTTTGTTAAATCTTGGGTGTATGCTTGACCTGCCTTGACTGGAAAATTTTTTAACCTTAAGGTTAATTTTCAATTTTCTTTGTCTCCTAGCCCTAATTTAATTCATGATTTAGGGCTAGGATACGATGGAAATCGAGAGTCAACCTACCGTTAGGTTAAAAATGTTAAATTTCAACCTGAGTTTCATTTTGACCCGTAACATACATGTGGTAAGTCAAAAAAATCATTAATTGCCAGTTTCACTATCTTGGGTCAAATTTCAACAGTCACACTCTCCTGTAGTGATAGATAGAATTTTTGAACAAGCCATTTATAAATTTGCTTTAAGGTGCTTTGAATACTTACATGTAGGTAGAACGTAAAGGCATGCTTTCAGAGATGGAGCATTTAGTGTGTATTTTATTGTAATACATGTGTATTGTACTCTTCTCTGAAATGGATCCTACATGTAAGTCATACATGTAGCAAGGAATCCTTAATTTTGGATTAACTCTGGTAAGAGTAAGAGCTCTCTGGGTCTCAGGGCTCAAAATAACGGCTGGTGAACAGACAATGGCCGGACTGATTGGGGAGTTGATCGGTCAACTTTTATTATTTAATATTATTCTGTAACACTCTCTGTGGGTAGAAAATACAGTTGATTTTTTTTTTTTGCTTTTTGGTATTATATTCTTGCCTCGTTGGAATGAAAATATTACCCCTGCAACAATGCTTCATTTGTTACTGAGTTATTTTCAATTTTTTTTCAAAATTAAAGTATTTCGTTAACTTTAGTCAGAAACTCATAAGTGGTTGCTTATGAGTTTCTGCTTTAGTATTTCGTTTGACTTTTGTTGTATGGATTGAGTTTGAAAGAAAGTTAAATTCAGGAATCGATATCCCTATATCTACGACAAAAATAGTTTTTCTACATAATTTGAGTATTGTCAATTACTGTGTTATTTTGCGTAATAATTTTTTTTTTTTTCAATAATAAATTTACTTTTGGGCTTGCTCTTCAGAGCTCCACACTAGTAAACTAAAGTAGTAGCTTTGTCATTTTCATCCTACCCTGAATTTATCTGTATTATACAATGATAGACAGCGTACCTATTAATAGCGGGGCTCCCACGCGCGCTTCGCGCGCGTGGGACAGAGCCCCTTACCCATAGATTATGGTCAACCTCTTTTCCTTTGGTTGTCACGTGATTGACCGAGCGTACGTACGAACGTACGCGTCTACGGATTGTACGGGTGGGATAGGGGAGACTATCAAAAGGAAGGGAGGGGTGTCTCAGGCGTGTCTTGCCAAGTCCACATCTTTTACATTGGACATTCACAATATGGTCAATTGACAGCTGTCAAAACAGGATAGCCACTGACCAGTATCCCATGACCATATCGCGCGCTCAGGTGTCAACTCATTGAGGTGACGTGATTTATTTGGAAGCTGTCCGCTGACCAGTTAATTATTTTACTAGATCGCGATCAATGTTCAGTCTCACTTTCTAGCAAGTTTGGGATCGGAGCACAGGAAAACTGATACACGTCAATGTTGTGATCCATTGACAGCTGTCAAAACAAGGTATCCACTGACCAGTATCACTTGACTGTATCGCGGGCTCAGGTGTCGACCCATCGAGGTCAAGTGTTTCTTTGAAGTTATCCGATGACAAGGTACTGGTTTTCAAATGATCGCAGGCTCAAGTTTAATTTTTTTTAAAATCCATATGATATATGCTGTGTTTATGTGCCGCACAATTAAAATTTTGATTTCAAACTGACCTCGGACACGAAAATTCAGCCAGCTGCTACAGGCAGGGAAGACAGTTGCTTTTGACTTTTCTCGCCATGTTCACGCGTTGGTCACGCTCTACGTCCAATTTTTATGCTCTGATTGGTCAAAATTTAATAGGTGAGTTCATGCGGAAAATTTATGCAGCATCTTGAATCTTGTTTACTTTGACAGCTGAAGCTGACAGAGTTTTGTGTCAACTTGTGATGTGTTTAACTTTCTTTTTCCACTGGATGTACAAAATGAAATTCAGCTGCTATCAGGAGGCTTCTGTTATTCATGGATAGTTTGTTTATTGGGTTTTTGGTTGAGTCAAGTCGGAAAACCGATTTCGGATGGCATCGTTTTCGTTTTCATCTTGCTTAATGCGTAAGAGGGTTGCAAAGTCTGAAGCGATACTGGCCTTACTTGATACCTTTCAGGAACTGCATCTCGAGTGGTAAGCCTAAGTAATTATTGTATTTGATGTTTGTTTTTTATTCCTAATTTAATGAAGTCGAGCGTAGTTTATGCGGCTATTATGTTTACCCACGTTTGTAAGATTTGAGACAATGGTCTGACAGAGTATCAGGTTTGTTATAAGCTTACAGATCTTTAAAAAGCCTTTAGACATTTTCTCACCCCAAATAGAAAAAAGACGTTTCAAAGAATATTTAGTTATAATTCTGGCTGTAAAAGAAAGGTTTGAGCGATTTTCTTGTCTCGAGTTCGTCTTTGAAAAAAGCAAACACCGAGAAGCCGGCTTAAAACATAAACTTCAGCTTTAAGCTCAAAGACTCCTTTTAAAGACACTTTAATACTTGTCTTCCTGAATGAAAATTGTTGTCTTTGTATATGTTTCACCGAATTATATTTCTTTTATTGATTGTTAGTACTCTCTCTTGTAATTTTAATTGTTGTGCCGATTGTTTTCAGTCATTCAGTAAACAACGCTTCCCAGAGTACTCAAAATGCCGCGTGTTAAACCGTTTTAAAATAGAAAATAAACATAATAAATTCTTTATTATGTTGGAGAGTAACTCTGTTAATGTTCATTCAAACACTCGCCACTGCTAGCACTGTAAAAGTCAGAACCGGCTGGCGGCATAGATGATTTTGAAAATTTTTTCAACGGTTTACGGCTAAAGCCCACACGTGCTTCAATCATCTTGAATAGCAATTTGTATCGCAATATTGTGACATACTGCATTCTGTTGTCCGAGGTCTGTATGATAAAAACAGTACCTCATAGTACTGTTTCACCTCAGATGTGATGTATAAATGATATAAAAGGTTGGTTTACACGCACCCAGATTTGTTGGCAAGATTTTGCAAAATAAACTTGTCGAACGCAAAAAATTCGGCCAGAATTTTTTTTCCTGGCCTAATTAATCTACGGTGATCAATAGTCATTATGGCTCTTAATAAATGTGATCGAAGATGATTGCCAGTTTTTGGGTGTACTTATGAGGCTATCAACTCGATGTGAGATTTGGTTCACTCTTGGGCTGTTTGCAAATTATTTTTTGTAAAATCACTTAGCCTTTCCCTGAAAAGTCACACGAATGTGCTCTAAAGTTAACTGAATTGTGGAATACAAGTTTATTGTTTGATTTAAATTATAAATTTATTAATGGGAGTCTCACTTTTAGCCCTGGCTAAATCTATATATTACACATATTAAGCTTTTTTTCATTTTGCTGCTGTAATTTATTTTTATTGTTGACAATGAGTGCTTTAAAGTGCTATAAGCTCTAAGCAATGACTTTTTTTGAAAAATATAATGCCAGTATTGGTTCATGGGCCCCTGTTTTAAGAGTTATAAATTTGACTGGCCAGAAACGATATGAGACCAGGCTAAAACGAATTTGGCTGGTCTTCAGAATCTGAGGGCAAGGGGGGGCGGGGGGCATTTCCTTCGCCGCTTAGCATTACATGATTTTATATTTTTTTTGAACAAACTAAACATATTATTGAGAGCTTCACTTTTAGCCCTTGCTAAATCTATATGTTATTAATATTTTATTGTTTGAATATTAAATAATTTTGCCTTAGAGAGTACAGACTAGCATCAGTTGGTCTTTGTGTTGTGAACACATCAAGACATGGGTACCCTCCAGAAGATGGTGCTCACATTGCCTTGCGCAAGTAATTTTCAATTAACATTTTCACCTCATCATGTTCAGGGCCTGAAAAAACTTGAATTCCAGCTAGTCCTTCAAACAATCAGTTGTCACATTTTGCTTCTCTTCTTATTATCTGTGAGCCCAAGTTCATTTTGCATCCAAGGCAACAAGTTACATATCACGTGACATTTTCGCCAACCGTCATTGGTGAACACACTGGTAGGTAGGCGGGTATAAGTCCTATCTCTCAAACTTTGCTCACAGAAAAGAATTTTTCACTCTTTAACGTTCCACTTACAGTGTGGTTTTCCAGAATGAAGCTGTGGTAGAATTCTGGTATAACCTGATACTGAAAGCAACCACGCCTCTTCCGGTCACCCTACCCTCTAGTCTTTGCGAAATTGGCAAGTAAGTGTTGATTAAGGATGCGTTAGATTGATCGTATTGTGGGATAAAAATGCGCAATGCACAGAGGGTAGAGGTGACGCTGACCGGGTTGGCCCCTAATACCGCGGGCCCCGGCTTAGGGCGGTATCCAAGTATTACTCCGATTAATTTGCTGGGACGTCACGCGCCTGGAGAAATTGAATATGGGGTTGATTAATTGAACGTACCAGAGAAATTTAGGTAATTATATCTCTTCATAACAAATATAGCGTCATCTTCTTTATTAACCCTTTCACTCCTAGAAATTTTGCCGAAAAACATCTTTTGAAGCTAGTCGAGAGGTTTTCTGTACAACTATCAGGCCAAAAGAGACAAAACCTGCCCAAAACGCTGTTTGTACATCAATCACTTCGACGTTTTCGGTCCCTAATGCAAAATATCAGCTTTGAAAGTTCAAGCATGCGGAGAATTTGATTTTTAACTTTCGCGTTTCTTGTTCGTATCCCTTCCTATCTTTTTCTTCCTTGGACTTTTACTTGGCTTCATTTCTTTTTGTAGGGAACTTTCTTTTGGAAAACTTGTAGGGTCGTAGAATTACATAATGTAACGTAGGAGGGTAGTGGTTCAAGATTTCCATTGGTCAACTTAACATGGGTTTTTAAAACCTTTCTTCTCCAGCCTGTTTGGCGTAATTGTCTTTGTAACCCGTAAAAAGGTTACAAGCAAATCACAGCATAATATTGTAAAAACTTGTGAGATAAGGTAAGCCACGTAATATCCCTACAAATTCACAGTCTTTATTTCTGCTTCAGATACGAACTCATTTTGCAAGACGCCGAAAGCCAATCCTGTCTGGAGAGATCATTGGGTGTAAGTCTGTTAAGAAAGATGAAGAATCAAGTTTCTGGAGTGGTCATTCTCGTTTTTAACTTCGTGTTTTCACCATTCAAGCCGTTCAGGTAACTTCAAAATGTTTCGGTCTTGCATTGCATTTTAGTCCCGTGTTATACCATACCCCACAATTCCAAACTGATTTTTTTAAAGTTACTACTTATCATTGAAGAAGGCTGAGTATGATATGAAGAATTATGCAGTTCGAGTAGAATCTTTTTTTTATCGGTCGAGGTGGATAACATCCCCTGAGATCAGCATAATTCTTCACATCATAAGAAAGCAGAATTCAATAATTGCTTTATTGTTTATTAAAACTATTTCTTAGTTCTTAAGAAGGTTGCCTCCTCGCAGACGTTCTTCAAAACTTTTGCCTGAAACCGTAGATATCATCCATGGAGCGATGTAAATGTTTTGCGTTTTCTTTTATTTCTTCCGCTCAGTCTTCAGAAATTCAGCTATTTCGTCTTCGGATGGCCGTGGACGCCCTTTTTTGTAGTTCACTCGTGAATTGACAACTAGGTGGCAGCTCCTGGAAAGAGGTATTGCCCAAGCAGCCTCGTTTCCATGCAAATATACCATCGATCAACCTTGTTTGCCAACAAATATACCATCGAATCGATGGTATCTTACTCGCGTCTTCCAAATTTGGTCAAGGTCATTAGCCGTGAAAGAAATTCTCAACAGCATCGCTTCCTACGACCAACAAAATGATTTCGAGCCACGCCTTCCTAGATAGACCACTTGACGTGCCATTTTGAGCATTCGCTTACGGCAGGTCCAACTTATATCTTTAAGGTGAAACAATTTATAAGAATTTACTTTGATATAGTCAGATCTGAATTCAAATTCGGATAAACACTGTGTTACCTCAAGTCTTTTTTGAATCACCGGACTCTAAATCCTACATCATGCTTTCATCCAGTCAGTGGTGCGAGGGGAACTGACAGGTTTTTTTCTCGTTGCTGTTCGTTTTTGCAGCCACAAGACACAGCTGATGATCACGGCCGCTTCCAGTGGAGTGCGGAGATTTCCCATTCGAGTGTTAGCTACTGAACCGGAAGTAGACGATGTAATTACTATCGAATCTGTTGGTCTAAATAAGGAATCAGTTGTAGGCTTCAGGATGAACAGTCAAATGAGGTGGGTGTATGGGGCGTGATCGGATCACGTTGTTAACGCAAAATCTGCTGCATTCTCTGTATCACAGTTCCTTTAAGAGCAAGGATTAGAGCGGTTGGTGTGTGGCCTCCCGTGCAAGAATTCCCCAGTTCAGTCCCCAGGGGAGTAACCTCAAGTCTTTGTTTCGACTCCTTTCCTTTCCTTGTATCTACGAGTAGCTTTGAGCAGCCTATGACCAGCCACCCCTCCACTCAGAAAAAATCGAAGAAAGGGGTGGGGGAGGGGGTGGCTATACACAGGCTATGCTTTGAGTACCTTTTAATATCCGTCAAATAGGGTAAGACAGACTGGGGGGAATGAGCGCACCGTCGACCTCAGGTTTGTCAGTCAGGCCCCGGTTGTTCAAACGTTGGATAGCGCTATCCACCGGATAAATCACTATCCAGTCGATAAGTATTACGGAAATCAATTACGCTATCCGCTGGATAGTGATTTATCCGGTGGATAACGCTATCCAACGTTTGAACAACGGGGGCCAGATGATGACTTTTTCGAGCTAACGACGTAAAATAAAAACTCTTCGCGTTCACTTTTTATCTTCGCCCTTTTGTATAGTTAATGTACTTTGCAGAATGACAACTGAATAGTCTACCTTTTTTCAGACACACCCTTCCATTCGAGGCATTCTTCACTCCCAGTTATGACCTGGATTTCACAGTCATCATCTGGTACAGAAGGAACACTGATCAAGGTGGCCTACAAACCTCAAATATACGGCAAGACACACAGGGCTAAACTGGTGGTTCAGGTAAGATCTGTTAGCCTCAACTGGCCCTTGTTTCCCACCCGATCCCAGATCCTCTCAGAAGGAAATGCATGAAAAAAGCACGAAAACTTTAGGGCGATGAGCGTGATGGCAGAAATGACCTTCTCCCGCCAATTTTCTTATCACGCCCCACATATGGTCGAGTTTTTTCTAGTCTTCCGTGATTCTTCCTGTCTACTTACAAATGACGAAAATTGTAACTGGCGACTATCTTTGTTTTGCTGATAAATTTCATCATGTGGAAAAATATGTGAGCCATTTTTCGTGTGAATTCGTAGCTATCGGACAGGGGTAGTCACTAATTGTCATGAGGTTAAAAACATCGACCTTCAATCAGCTTCCTGGAGAAGGCATTTTAATAATTCCGCGTTTTTCTTGGTTTTCTCGCAGACATCAGACATGCAATGGACGTATGATATTCTAGGTACAACTGCTGACTACAATCCGCCAAACGTGCAGGCAAGAATCACGTCCACCAGTGCAAACTCGGCGCGCCGGACCGTGAAGCAGAAGAAGAACTATGTACTAGAGAACTTGAAGTTACAGAGTACAGCCGTGCCCTCCCCTTATAAGGGAGTAAGACGTGTGTCACGCTCAGCTAGATAACAACGACGCACAAGTGTACACGCTGTATAGCAAGCGAAGTTAGAAGGAAGTGTTAATTGTCCAAAATGCTTGGAAGTGTTTTGTTCCAATGTAGCATATGTACATAATGTTTCCTAACCGATATTTTATTTTTGTACCCAAAGCTTTTTTGTTGATTTTGTGTGTTTGGCACTGTAGATAAAATTCCCATGACACATTGCTTTACAAATGTTATTACAAATTGTCCAGTTAGTGAAATATTAAACGAAATCCCAGTTACCGAAGTCAAGAGATTTCACTTCTTTTTTAGTTTCATCCGGAAGTAAAGATTGTTTACCATCTCCCAGAGCCATATGCATGGGCAAACTGGTTAGTTCACAGTTTGGGCAAATGGTAAGCAAAATTCAAGACTATATCTTGAAAAGCGTAGAGTACATTGTTTAAGTCGCTTTTTTATCTAATTTTTTGTTGTTTACGTTTTTGCATTTAGCAATTAAGGGTGCGTTCCTTTGGGATGATCAGGATGAGTGATCTGAGATCACTCGGATCATGGTCGATCAAATGAACCGACGAATCCACTCTGAACATGGATTCATCGGTTTATTTGATCTACAATGATCCGAGTGATCTCAGATCACTGATCCTGATCCGGATTATCCCAAAGGAACGCACCCTAAAAATCAAAATGGTGGGAGTTAAATTTTCTATAAAATATATTTTGTTGAGCATAGTACAGCCTGCAACGTAAAGTGGTATGGGTGTGTTATAGCGCAAACCATTTCTCATCGTCGTTCAACCGTGCCTATAGTTAGCATATTTTTCTGTTTTCATTTACGATGAAGACTTTCTAGTTACTTCCCGTGCGTAAATAGTTTACCATACAATTGGCGGTCCCCTTTTAAGTGCAAGTTAATTAGCAACGAAGGATCCAAAGGAGAAATGGCCGAACGAAAAAGGGCTTATGTTCCTAAGTCACCAAGTTTCGTTTCTTCAAATTTCACGGAATGGGATCCCGAACAGGCGAGAAAGCTAATTCAAGAATCAGCTCGTTTACATCCACCCCCAGTGGTGATATTTGTCCGCGCTGCACCGAAATTCACGCCAAAATTTGACGTCAGGAGAAGCGACAACAAGCCCAGTCCACAATCCCATGAGAGCTCTGCGAATGCTGCACTCGCTAAAACGCAACGAAGAATGGGACGCATTAAGATGACAGAGGAGGATTACGAGCTGTTTGTTGGCAAGGAGTTGAGTCGGAAATGAAGGAAATAATTTAAAGTCCATGGGGAGGTTGTTGGTGCTATTAAACATACTCGAAATTAATCCCGGTGATTTGTGAGAAACAGTTTTTTTGACAGAAACAGTACGAATCACAGAATTACTTCATTTATCAACTTAGACCCTGTTTACATGGGGTGGGGGACCCCGGTTTAGTGGGGTAGGTTTCTTTTGTTTTGTGTCCCCCAGAGCGTGGAAACAAAAGAAACCAACCCCACTACACCGGGGTCCCACACTCCATGAAACAGGCCCTTAGACAATCAATTTAGATCAGCCACGATTATTTTGATCTTAAATGAAAGCGCCTCAGTATGTATATTTATCACTGGCCGACGACAATTGAACCAAAACAGTTCCCTTGATGCGTTGGAAACCGAGGATTGACATAAAATTTACTGCTCTGAAATGTACATAGCTTTGTGTTATTCATGTGAGTCAAATATTGAAATAATCCTATAAAGTCCTTTAGTGTTTAAGATATATAAATTTTTTCGATGTTTTTTTTATTCTGTTCCCGATTAACACTCGATCCACAACTATTGTCCCTCGGTTGGATTTTTTCAAGAGCCATCCCATTATCGCTCTAAATTTTTTATAAAGCCTAGGTCCGTCTTCTGCCTGTAAGTACATTGTAAATACACTCCCAATAAACATTCTCGAATATAGCTTTCATGTGATTATTTTAAATTCTTTACGATTTTAACATGAATCTCGTCATAAAAACTCGTAGCCTTATTAAATAATTTGCTGTTGTGGGTAACATTTCATTTTTCTTTCAAGTCCATGTGGTTGCATGACTTCTGGCTTTGCTTACTGAGACACTTATGATTGACCTTAACTGATCTAGACGTTTATGCTATTTGAGTCATTGACTGTTCTTTACTGATCTTAGTTTTTTTATATATTATGTCCAACGTCCAAGACTAAGTTATTATAAAAAAAGCTTGAAGTTTGCTCCTCCGGCAGTGTAGCGTAAGGAAACATGCCAATCCGAAGCACACCACCCTGATTCGTGCTCCGTTTTGCGTTTTTATCGACCTGGCGACTTCGTCTTCCATGGTGCTTAAAACACCGCAAAAAAGGACTTGGTAAATATCCAACCATCTCAGTCACGTTACCTTACGCTTCGTCCGCCAATAACGCATAATTTTATAGAGAAAGATGACTTATCCGCACTGTAAACTTAAAAGGGGTCAAGAGAGTATTGATATTGAAGGCAAATACGGCAAAAACCCGAGTAGGAATCTGCATTTTCCCACGTAAACCTAAACAGGACAACACTTTAAAAATAGTAATTGGAACAAATTTAGGCTATTTAGATTCCTAACTCTGACGAAAACTAAAACATTCGTTGTAGCAAAGAGTATTTAGTGATATTCAGCTCAGAATCCTTGTATAAAATCTGCATACCATTACATAATTATTTTGCAGTTGGAGTGGTAAGGCACTTTAAAAAGGATCCTGAATGTTTACTTACCTTATTTGCCTAAGTGTAAAGAATTTCTTTATAGATTTAAAAAATAGGAACTTGTTTCATATTTTAGTCTAAACTGGTTCATGGATAGAGCGAGCCCAACAGGATCTTAAAAACTAAGTTCTTACTCGCGGGTTTTTACTGTACTCAGCCACCTATACCGAAAAAGCGCGGTCAGTGAAGGACCATTTTGTACCCGGGATTGTTCTGTCCGGGGTATTATATGGCCAAAACGGGCGAACAAGACAGGGACGGGCCATCTTCCCCGCAAGGGTCAGATTGCTTCGTCTTGCGCGCCGATATTATTCAGCCTCATGATTTATAAGATTTCTAAGAAGAGTATTAAAACAATGTAACGATCTGACTAAAACATGGAAAAGTCAATATCGAAGGCTTTCAATTCCAGCAAAAATACCAGTTTTAATTTGTTTATTCACTCCTATGTTGATCGACCATATCAATTTGACTGGTTTAAACAGAGGCTTTCTTCGCTCGAGTATAAAGCCTGCCTTTTTAGAGGACTGGCGAACTGGAGTGACACGCGCCGGGTGACTGGTGACGAAGCGCGAGGGCACATGAGAAGAAGAAAAAACACAAAATAAAAAATAACTGAATTAATTTAGATAACCAATTTTGTACAAGACTCCTCACAATTGTTCTCACTTGCACCAGCCCCTCGACAAAGGCTGTAAGAAATTACCTCCCCCCACCCTACAAGAATAGGTTGAAATGATATCCTTCCGGTAGAAGCCCCGTAAAAGGAAGTATTTAGAAACGTCATGCAATCAATCGGTAGTTTGTCTTGGAATGCGCATGCAGGGAGAAATCATTGCAGGCATTTTCTTCTTTTCCTTTGAACAGATCGTTTTGAGCAGTTCCCTAATTGGCTAAATGTTGAACTTCATACTTCGTAAAGAGAAAAAAGGTAACCTAATTTCATGAATTTTTGCCGGAGCTAGATTCTCTGCTGTGGAATACAATACGATAATTACTGCCCAGACAACGTAGCGTCTGTCCCTTAAAAGGCTGAAAAAGGCTGCAAAGAGTTACGTTTAAGGTAACAGAAACATTTAGGAGAACCAGGAAACAAAACGCTGTTAACAATTTCTCTTTCAGGAATCAACAAACACATTTAGTCAAGGTATTACAAGTCGGTAGCTTCAGAGCATTAAAAGGAGTACTACCTACATCCATCTACCAACGACTGTGAACAACCTGCGCGACTCTTATTTTTAAAAAGACTCGGTTGGAGCAGATCTTCAGGAGTCCTTTGCCAGGTAAGTGTGCAGTTTTATTGTTTCTTTGCTTTTAGATTCATGATGCCGGAGGAGAGTCTGGTGTGCTTTGTTTATGGATATCTCATAACGAATTTATTTCCTCGTCCTGGTGATTTGACGCCCACCGCATGAAGATCTTTTCTGTAATAGGACTCCAAACGCGCTTATTGCACGTGATCACAGCAAAACGTCACGCAAATTAAAATCAGCTTAGTCGTTTGAAATGCAGATTAGATTCATTTTGTACATATCAAAAGGGTTCTTTGACTGATCTATGACTTTTTTGCACTGGAAATTAAAACTTGATTTGAACAATTTCATTTGAGAACTGGAGGTAATGAAAGAGACTTTGACCCACTGAATGGATATCAAAGGTTGTTCAACTTCCTGTTTGTTCTAAGGATTAAAGGGCTCTGTCACGGCAGTCCACTTCATTTTGTTTAATTTTGCCAATTACTCGCCCTCAACTGAAAGTAAGCAAAGAAATTACATGTAAATGACAAAATCAGAGATTCGAGACAAATACGTCTCCTGAGCATTATTTTTGAAGTTGCAAACAGCTCCTTTACGTTAGCTAGCGCAAAGTTAAGGTCGCTTGTTTGGTTTACTTGTTTCTTCAAGACAATCGTCTTTTGATTTTACAACTTCTAATAAAGAGAAAATGCTAATAACAAAACCGAAAACACCTACACGTTACGAGCAAAGGCAAACAATTAAACAAAAATATATTGGCGCTGATCTACTCAGCTGGCATGTATTCATCAGGATGGTACCTTGCGAGAAATATATTTCACTGCTGATATCCTGAAACCTATATACGCATTGTGTAGAGACACCCACGAGATCTTTATCTGGTGTCCGCCTTATGAACTTTAGTATTCGAGAGTTAAGTGAGGTGAAAAAAAAATTTATCATTTTCAGTTTTATCAATCACTTTACGATAAATTATCTGGGTGAAAGCCCCTGCTTAAGAATTTGATTTACATGAAAGTATACCTATATCTAAAATTAATCTAAGGAAAGATCACACACTACATAAATTAAGAAAGAAGAAAATTTTTTGTTTATGTATGTAGTGTGTACTACTTTATCTAAAAGAGAAGTCTCTTCCTTTAAACTAGAAAGGAGAGAATTTTAGAGTTAAACACCTTGACAAAGCAAAACTGTTTTTAAACTGAGGTTGTTCTTGCTGTCTAGAAATTCAAAGGTCATAATTGT